ACTATATCAACGGCTCTCAAGAAGGCAGTTCTGGTAGTTGGTAGTTGCAAAACAAACGCACGGAATTATAGTTTTTCAAAATGTTCTCAAGTTTGGAACACGGTTTCCCTTAATAAACTTGGCCCCTTTGTGAAGAAAACTTTTCTTGGCTGGGGAGTCTTGGTTGAGAGGCCATGCCATGCCATAATTAAGGGGCACAACCATCGGGACAGCTGAACTCATCAAAAGACTAACTGCTTCAATACCTTTAGGTCTACAACTTTGGTTCAGGTTCTTGGGTTCTTGCCATTGTTGGAACCCGCAGAGGCTACCAATGGGTGGTGAGGTCCAACCACGCTTTCCACCCTTCCCAGGCCCGCACCGATCTCCGCAAGAGGCGAAAGGCGCGGGGCGAACGGAGGGGGGGGCGACTTCACCCGGGTTCGGTGGGGAGGAAGTGACCTCTTTTCTCCCTGAATGTAAGACTCTTTGATGATGTTTCAACCCTGAAATGGGCCTTCTTAAAAAGTGTGACAATCCATGTCGGTCTCGGGGGGGCTTGATTCACAACGAGTTGGCATGGTGTCTTCCCAAGCTACGTTCAAAAAGGTGGGGCTACGTAAGTCGTCATCGTCGTCGTCGATGTTGTTGTGGGGGTGTATCTTCATCTTCTCCTCCTTCCTCTTCTTCCTACCAGATGCCGATCGTCGCTGATCAGTTGCTGGCTTGAAGTAGGACCCCTAATGTATCCGACGAACTCTCCACTTGTCGAGACGGTGTCGGGAGGGCTTGTTGGGCGACCCTTTTGAGGAGTTGAACATCCAGGTACGTACACCACTGTGTTCATATGTGTTCACTCTGTTCGCCTCTTGAGCTCCGGCCAACCCTATGCGACACACCGCAAGCCAACAAGTCAGACTCCCGGTGAGAGGGGTTGGCCGCCTTTTTTGGTCCTTGGAGCCCTGTCCGCAGCAGGTCGGTCTTGGCGAATATCTCTCAAACCTCGACCATCTACCCATACACCAGCCGTGAGCCACGGGAGTCTGGGACCCCAAGCAGCAGCAGGTTTGGGAAGGTTTGCCAATTTGCGTGGGTGGAGAAGAGAAAAAGCATAGGTGGTGGGGCGGTGAATTGTTCTGAAGCTGGTAAGTTGGAGTCTAAGGCTTAAGTTTACTATATCGGATCATGGACGGGACGCGGACCACATTCATGTGAAGATGGTGGTTCCAAACCTTTGTGTCCCGGATAGCCAGACCCACAGCATTGAGTCTGCTCTTCGTCAAAATCCTTGCTAATTTGGAGGGATCATGGCCAGTTCTTTTAGAGGCTCGAATTGCCTGAAGACCTCGCCATCTCCCAAAATGCCATCTATGTACGTAGACCTCTATAAGTAAACCAGCTATTTCCAGACCTGAAGCCTTCCAGCCCTTCTTGCTACATTTCAACGACGTTCCGTAAGCCATCCCCCTCACCTTGTGAGCCATCCAAGTTTCTCGTCGGTCGAGCCGTCGGTCAAGCAGTCGGGGCTTGTGGTCATGTGGGCTGAGGCGCTCGCAAAGCCAATCCTTGAGTAGGCAGTTTTCGCGACTCGCGACTTGGGGAGATGCGAGATCGAGATCATTCATGTTGTGGGATTGATGTGAGAATCCAACATCCAAGTATCTCCAAGTCATTCAAACGTTGCGAATCTACACAAATCATCACAAATCTATGACCATACCGAAGTCCAAACTCCATATGAAACGAGTTGCGCCTCTGACGGCTCTGACGGTCTGTTCCTATAGTGGGTCACCTCGTCACGGTCAGTCCATTCGCGCATTGGAAAAGAATGGAGCTGGACTCCCACCATCGAGACATATCTTTTGGAGAATGTTTCTTTCATATTCTTAGACCTTTCTTTCTTTTCTTTTTTCTTTGCTTCTAATAGCGATGGGCTTCACCCGACCGCAGCGATAGCCACCAACCTAAGAGCTTTACGAAGCAAAGCGCTTGGTGCCTCTAGAGGTGGACCCTTGGCAGAAGGGATGGAGCTTTCACCTGAGCTTCCACTCTTTCACTCCCTCCGATGGTGAGGGCCCAGGTGCTTTGACTTGAGGGAAACCATGGGGTGTGCACTTCAGTCCCAAGGTTGCCCAACTAGGCTGTGTAGCGACCTCCCAGATCAAACCGACCGAATGTCCTGGCGGTCCCGATGAGACCCGAGACCCGATTGATTCGGATTCTTGCGAGGGTTCAGTTCTCTTGGAATCGTTCTTGTTCGACCGGAAGCTTTTAGGTCTCTAATCGTCTCTAAGAGACCAAAGTGAGCAGCGCAGCGGCCAGATCCCTGAGACTGGACTCGCAGATTTTCTCCTTAGATCATGAGGACGGATGGGTGGAGAGACTCTGAGACTCCGGACTGATTTTGGGGGAAGATGGGCGATGTGGACCATGGAGAATTGCGAGGAGTCTTGTGCGGATTCTTGGAATGGGTTCATCGGATTCATCTGAGGCACCATCTTTTTCCCGGGGTTTCAGAATGGAATGACCACTGCACCACGGAAAATCCGGCCACTGCTGGTGGTTGATTTTCTCAGTGGTTGGTGAACATCCAAAGCCAGGGACAGTTTGATGAACTACACGTTCTGAGTAGTTCCACATTGGTACTTTCCATTCCACTTGGATTCATCCCCTGTTGTCGTCGGTGCGGAGAGTTTGGTCGTTGGTTGATCGTGGTCGTCGCCATTTTTGACCCAACATTGCTCCTGCAGGAGCTGTCTAGCTATTGTCTGCGGGGCCGCGAGGTGTGCGTCCTGCTGGGAGTCGAAATTGGATCAAAGCTCGACCGTGAAAGGAAGAAATAGAAAAAGTAAGACTGCTTCACGACTTGAGGGCGACTCTGGTCATGCATCGTGAAAGGAACTCTAGCGATCTTGGGACACATATCTGGAAGTAGTGCCAACTTGTCCATCACAGTTGGTGAACATTGGATTTGAGAGCCTCCGACTCGCATGAAAGCCGGATGTGCTAGAGGAGGAACGACAGCCAGGGCTCTTTTGCAGCAAATCTGCCAGTTGATAGGTGGCTGGCTAGTCTAAGGCCCGACCGAGCCCCAACAAACGCCGGGAGTGATGGAGCTCGCAGCGGCTCTGTGGACTTCGGCCAAATTGGCCTTCCTTGAAACGACATCGTCCACTTCCAGGTCAAGATTCTGCTTCTTCATGGGCACAAAAAAAACAACCCACTCCCTGGGGCAAGAATGGCCCCTTTGGGAAGACGCTGTTCCTCTACAAACAGGGTGGTTTCCACTTCTGATGTTAGTGAGTTGGAGTGTCAATCAATTCAGCATCCCAATTCCTTCTGACCACCTCCAAAGCGCCCTGACCAGTTCTCCCCTGGTACCCGCTGCGGAGGCGGATCCAGCGACTGGGCCGGTGCCGTTGGGATGCCCGGTTGGAAGCTTGTTCTGAAGCATTGGAGACATGCTTGGGAGAAACAGTGAGGATCTTTTGCCGTTGGGCCTTTTGAGATCGTGAGCACCCACATGATCGCTATCTCGCCCCCATATCGCAGCCCCCACCTTTTGGGTGAAGCCTCAGGGGTTTTCAAGGTGAACCAGAGAGGTGCATGCGAGGTGAACATGCGAGCACGAGGTGAGGGGATCCAACTGAGCGACAGGTATGTCCATGCAAAAGCCATGGTGTTTGAAAAAAGAAAGAAGGAACGGTGTCTTCAGGTCTAAAGGAAGAACGAAAAACAAGGTCTAAAGGTCTAAAGAAATAAATAACAGAGAAAAGCAAAACCACGTGTCTGGCTGTCTAAAGGTCTCAAAACAGTTTGGTCACCTCCCGTTGAGTTGACCCCTTTATCGGCGCGCGAGAACATCGCGCGAGCGCCGGTGGAGGTCCGGGGCGGCGGCACCCTTGGCTGAGGAGGCGAGGTCATTTGGGATCATTTGCAGTGATGGTTTCAAAGTAAGTACTGTAATTGGCACAAACGCACCCAAACATGGCACCCAAACATGGCAACCAGACAGATGTGGGTCTATCATCTATCTGTCTCTCTCTCTCTATATATATTATATGTACAGTATATATATATACTAACCATCCTGAAGTCCATAGAATTTCGGTGCAACTCAATCCCGCAGCACTCAACTCAACCAAAAAGAATACATAGAATATAGGGGTCCCTAAAATCATCTTCAGGATTGTTTTATCGACACATCCGCTTGCCCCGATCGAAACACCCGCGCGCACCAACTTAGATATTCCAAGATATTCCCAGTACCCAAATTGTTCCGCTCGGGAATATTCCAAGTACCTTTTGCTTTTGGTCAAAGCAGGGCATTTAGAATATAGAATTGAATTGACGGAATGTACTTTGGCGGCTCAATTCCGTATTCTATGTACTTAAGGACGATGTGGAGATCTTCCTTTTCACATGGGGTGGATGTCTTTCGTAGCGACCTGTTTTGTCTTTAAATGAGGTTTCTGGGGCAAGATGGAGCCATTTCCAAAGAGGGGCCGGCCTCAGGGCGGGACCTGTTCCGACTTCTCATTCCCCAAAAGAAGCTCCCACATGTCGCGCCAGCTCGGGTGATGGTGGACTCGAAACTGGCATTAGCCTTGGTCACTCGAAGCCTCTGGTCGATGCTTGGGGTACCAATCATTGCGACTCTTGAGGTCATCTAAGGAGTGATCATATCAATCAATGATAAATCAATCCCCAGCTAAGGAGTGATATATCTTGCTGGCTTATACTCAATTGGCTAAGCAAGATATATCAATTGCTGGCCAATTTTTCCCCCATCAACCCCCTGCTTAGCACTGCCCGGCCTCTTGAAATCAGTGGTTGGCCTAAACTGGACTCGCAGTGGTGTGAAGTTTCTTTTCTTCCGACCGGTCCTAGACAAAACCGTGAGTGGCCCCCCCCCCACACCCTACATATCTACCCATGTCCAGTTTTGGGAGCCTTACCTTCTTAACCAGACGTGCAACTAAACCTTAAATCCGCTCGTGGACCCGGCGTCGACCCTGCAGGAGACGCAGCATGTGGAGACCGTCCCACCTCACTTGCTGCAGATCCGCGCCATGTGAGCCGGCTTGATCACTGCGAAAAAAAGGAAGGGGCGGCTGGAGGATGAGGCAAGCACATCTGGTTTTGGATGGTTTTAGCATTTTGCATGGAGAACAATCAGTAGGACCCGAGGGGTCAGAGCAGTGGTTTCAGAGAGTGGATGTAAACAGCATCACCCTTCATCAGTCAATGTGACCATTTTTCTATCTTCTTTTCTAGACAGGAGATAGGTCGGGTCCCGATCCTTTTTTGGGAAAAACCTCCGTCAACAGCCTCACTGCCTCCTTCGCCCGCGAAGGGACGGTGGCCCGAGCCGTGCCGTGGTGTTCGCTGCGAGGTATTCGCCCAGGGCGAAGTCCGAGGAGGCGCCGAAGGGGGTTGGAGGAAGAGCCGTGGAGGGTCGGTTTGGAGGATTGGTTGGATGCGGGTGGCAGTTGTTTTGAAGCCTCGCACCCTGGCACCCTGGCCTTTGTTTGGAGGGACCATGTCTGGGAGTCCATTCTGTCCCGGTTTTGACCCCACAGCCAGATGTTGAAACGCCTTGGACCGTCGTTTTGTCGGTTCGGACCTCGCCAAGGACATTTGGTCCACCGAGGTAGGTTCAGGTCGTTGGTCGTTTGGCAGGTCTTTTTCTTGAATTTTTGAGCCAGTTTGGGGACGGTGTGCGGGTCAGAACAGACAGCATCCAAGATGGTAGTAGTTCCTGGTCTTGGTAGACTCGAACTCCACTATGTTCCAGGCCTGCTTGCATGGCAAAGTTTCCTCTCTGGGAAGTCCTTCCTTCTTCCAGCATGCAGTTCTCAGCTGCACACAGCTTTCGCAAAACCCTGAGCCATGGTGAAACAAGTTCCCCTTGGATGTAGATCATGTAGGGCATATAGGGCCAGGATACTGAGTATACTCCTTGGTTTGGAGGCTTATCCTCCGACCTGTCGAGCTTAGCAGCTCCCGCCAGGTCGAAGGTGAGGAAGATGTGCCCCTAGGTGGGACGGGGTGTCCCCCTGTGAGGCAGTGAGGGGCGGAATTGGTCTGCTTGTGTCTGCTTTGGCCATCGCTCATGCCTAAGAAGAAGAAGAATAAGAATAAGAATAAGAAGAAGAAGAAGAAGAAGAAGAAGAAGACTCTCTCTCTCTCTCGATATGTATATATATATAAAATACATTATTCGTGAGCCCCAAGTATGGAAGTTCTTGCTGTGTTTGGTGCAACTCGCAGGGTTTCTTCGCCTCATGAGGTTCGGTTTTGGCTCCTTCGCCGCTTCAGCGAAGTCGGTGCCTGTGCAGCTTCTCGGACTGGGGTCCTGAGGCTGCAGAGCATGGCTTCGTGCATGTCTAGAGTCGACAGAATCCTGCATTCGCCATCTCAAGCTTCAAATGCGTCAGGCGCAGTGACCCATATGCACCAATTCATCTGGCTGCTTCGAACGGGGCCATGCTGCTGGATGCTGCGAGACGACGCTGGAGCACCGTGCGGCCGCTGGGCCCCGGCAACAGCTCTGGACGTTGTGGCACGCCAACGTTGTGCGACCACGTTGCTTTTTTGTGGCGAGACAACTCGATGGAGAAAACTGGAAGACTTGCTTTGCATCTCCGCTCAGAACGGGTGGAAGGTGAATCTTCGCAGCTGTGTGAAGCCGCGAAGACTCACTACAAGCGAAGATAACAGCTTTTCGCTGCAGCAATGACTGTATGTTTGGAAGACAAACGGAATCTGAAGCTTTCTTTTCCCAAGAACGCGATGCACCAAACGATTGTTGGAGATAGTTGGCCAATGGATGATTTTGTCTCAACACCTGGCCAATCCTGGCCATTTCTCACCTGTGCAAAAAGCGAAGCGCTTGGATGAAACTCATCCGATGACCCCAACGACACCGGGTGACATTGGTTTTCAAGAGTACCACTCGAAGCCATTTCTTGTCAGCGGTTTTTGATGTTCTTTGAGTTCCTGGATGATGCTCGTATACTGCTGCTCCGTGGCCAATCTCGTCTTGGAGCCTTTAGCCTTGTGAAGGCTCCCTTTTAGCATCTTTTTAGCGATTGGATCCGGGATACATTAAGAAACCCAGGTACACATGATTGGAACGATGGCATCTGTGCGACTCTGAATGACACAAAGAGTCCAGGAGCTAGGTTCTCCTGGGCAGAACAACTCCAGAACACACAATGGGTAGGGGGTGGCTTTGTGGGAGGAGATTTTGGTGTTGTGTGACACCAAAGGCTTGATGTTCCATGTTTGTTTGTGGAATTCCTTTGTTGCTGGTGCTTCCTTCAACATGACTCAAACAACTTGATTTCCATACATTCAAACACCTCCAACTCCAACCTTGTATGGTGTTTTCAGACCTAGATCCACGCTTTAGACGCTTCAACTTCAGGACCAGTTCAGATGTAACAAACATCCAAACCACCAGGGAACACGCTTCTGAAAGAAAGACTGGTTAGAAACTCAGGTTCCAGGCCCGTCCGCCCCCACCCGCGCCCGCGAAGCCCGGCCACCCCGAAGGTGACAGCGCGATCACCCCGGTGAACGATGTGGTCGGAGCACCGGGACGGTACGTGGTTGCCGACGGCATTCAGGAGCTACGGAGGTTGAATTAATCTGATGCCCATCCCAAAGTAGTCTACAATCACTCTTATTTTTTGGTCTTGACTCAAGCTCGCTATGAGGTTGGAGGCCATTGCTAGTAGGTTGGAGGCCATCGCTCTACTTTTCTTTGGTCTTGAATAATAAAGTAGTCTAACGACATGGCCCTTTTTTTGTTTGTCCAACATCAGTATGGGCTGGTGAACGAGATAGGGCCCCCGCATCAACGAAATATTTTTGTGGATGACACGAACGTAGTCTGAACAAAATACTGTGAGCAGCTACTAAAGGAGTCTGAACGAGAATCTGTGACATGACCTCCTACTAGAGTATATTATCCAAGCGAGATAGGCCTCCCACACAATTGATAGTGTATTTGAGTTTAGCAACAAATACTGTGGATGCAGCTGCTCATATGATCCATGTCCAGTATGCGCTATGCCCATGTGTATGGATTACAGGATCATGCCCGATTGGAGTCTTGGTTCGAGCATTTTCAGTTGAATGGCTGTTTAACGAGGCCACAGACTTTTCACCTGCCGATATATATATATATGTATATGTATACACATATATGATGAATAAAGGTACCTCTCTTGGGGTCACGGGTCCCCTGACCCATGACCCAGTTTCTTTTGAATCCCTGAGATCGCCAGAACCTGAGGCGTTAAGGGTCAGTGAGCTCAATTGCTGACCCACTTCGAGTCCACTTCGTCTAGGAGTCCTCGGTCCGGTGTGGATTCGCACGGACCATCCACGGAAGGTTTACTAGTGGAGGATGAAGGAGACCCATAGACCGCCCCAAATAGATGGATTCACTAAAGCCATGTTGAGGTTCTTCCTAGGTTTTGGAGTCATGCCATGAACAAGTGATAGGAGAAGGAAGCCAGCTAGATAGGATAGGATACTTCTTTTTAGATCTTCCCAGGGGATTTTCAACACTTCACTCACTCGCTTGATATTGTATGAAAATTGAGGGGGCTAACACTGCACAATAGTAAACTAGACACTGAGATAAACTCTTCTTGGAACTTTAGGCGTTTGTTCGCCATCCTTCGATTTCTCCATCGATTTCGAGCGCTGCGTCTTCCTCCCCACGCGACGACTCTCAGGCGGCCATGACGGCTGCGGAGGACTGGTCGAAGACACAATGGCAAGTTGGGTTGACACACCACTGCCAAGACAGCCAAGACTGCAAGGACATGTTCAGTTCACCCAAATCGTGTATGGTTTTGAGTGGCATTTGAGAAGAACTCCCAAGAGTGCTTTAGAAAGTCTTTGCTCAGACAAAAAGCTGTGTCATCTCTGAATCATTCATCTCTTGAACTCTTGAAAGCAGGATGGTTTCACATTCTTCATGGTGAACTTCCCCTTACTAGATCTCCCACCAGATTGCTCCACCAGATTCACAAGAGAAATATGAGTTTCACCGAGATTCTATCGATGACAAAAGAAGCCTCGAGTTTTCATGGTGATCGGACTTGGCCCTGAACTCAAACCTTCACCAGAAACATGTCCTCCTTCTTCTGCGTTCTTATTCTCCTAAAAACTGTCCTTGGAGCGCCAGGACCTCCTGCAAGGTCAGCCAGATGAGGAGTCGGAAGCCTCGTTCGGGGTGACCAGGGGTGTGATCCAATGGGAGACCCTCCACGAATTGGGGAGATTGCAAAGCACTGTGGCACTGGATTTGAGTGGATTTTCACCTTTTTGCACGTCAAGCTGGGGGTGGTTGTTGGACTCTTTGCCCTGAAAAGACCAAGAAATACACGCTACCAAGCATTTTCTATTTATGGCCTCCAGGTGCATCTTTGAATTTGGATGGTGACCACTACCGCCACACTTTCAAGTTGCTTGGAGCGGTTTGCAGCTGGTTTTTGCGGTGACCGCTTCGCTTCCAGGTCTGTCGCTACTTCGTGGCCACTTCGGTCTCGGTCCCTCCAAAGAACCCCCTCTTCGGCGGTCGGTCCGGTCGCCTCCGAACGACCAGGAACCGGACCGAGGTGCGAAGGTTCCCCGCCCGGCACCGAGGTGGGACGAGGAGGCGATGCTGAAGCGCGAGCTGGCGAAGCTGCACACCGGCGAGGCGCGCGGGCGGAGAGGAACAGTGGGAAGGGGCGAAAGCACTGGTTGGGGGGGGGGCGAAAGCACTGGGCGGTGAGAGGCAACGGCCAAAACATGAGGTGAGCGAAATGACAGGCTTGTGTTCCTTTTTTCCTTCTTTTAAAGCCAGGTTTCTTTCACAGCATGCCAGCCAAGCGACCAGATATAGACCTGGGGTGGAGCAGGGCTCTGGATCAAGGGGATATAGTCAATGAAGTCTGTGATATAGATGATGAACGTGAGAAGAGGAGCAGGGATGTTTGATTCTCTTGCGTCGACGGATAGATGTTAGTTGAGGTTGACCCCAACGCGGATGTCTGCCAGTCGTCGCTTCACTTGGCTCTGCCAGTCGTTCGGCCCAGTGGTTCGCTTTCCCAGAGAAAAGCCGTCTTTCGACGGTCCGACTCGTAGAGACACCCGGCATCCGCACGACGTGGCGGTCGCACGACGCGCAGCCGGGGCGGTCGCACGACGCGTCTCGGCCGCAGGATGTCATTGCCTTCTTCGCGAAGAACGGCTCCAACTCCTCGTGAGGGGTGCCCGGTGGAGCCGCAGGGCCTGAAGCGGGCACGGTGAGAGGTTCGGCCCATCGACACCGTGCCCGGTTCGGGACTGGAGGAGCTCGTATTCGGTGGGAAGGGTTGGAAGATGTCGAGGCAAAAGGCCTCTGGCCAAGGGCGAGCATCGGCAGTGGAGATGGTGGTTTTGCCTTTCTTTGCTTGGATTCGCATGGAGGAATGAGGTGTCTTCAATAGTCCAAGGGACGGATTGGATGGCAAAAAGCACCACAAATTTTGAGTTCCTAGAAATCCTGAGATTTGCACATCTTCCACAGAGGTTGTATTCAGTATAACAGTTTGAAGAATTCTTGAACTTGTGGACCGGGCTTTCAATTTAGGTTGACCCGGCAGACCCCGTCCCAAAACTGTCTGGACTTGGGGCTGTTCTTTTGTGAAGGATGCTGCGGTGCAGTGTTGTTTATATGCAAAACTATTTTTCGCATCCTTTGAGGAAAGGAGCTGTCTTCTCCTGCAAGTCCAATTGTTTTTTGCAGCCTACTCTTCTGTAGAACAGTCCAATCACCACCCGAAAGCCCTAGAAAGATCTATATAGAACCCTGGTCTATTTTTAGCGTCCATCTCTCAACTGGTGCAAGACCCAAGCAGGGACTCTGCCACCTCCGTTTTGAGACAGCCTCTGTCACCTCCCAGGGTGAAATTTGTCTACTGCAAGCGAAGGGAGCACGTCCGTCAGCCCAGAGTTCCAGTTCCGCCAGCACGTCCCGTTCCGATTCCGCTTGGTCGTCATGCGAGCCGTTTTACACCAGGTCTGCGACAGAGAGCGCGTTCGGTGTGCAATATGTCGAGTGAAAGCTTACTATTCAGCAAGCCGGGTTGTAAATGTTTGAGAAGAACCACGCGATGGCTCCGATGCTCTCCTTGTATCTTTCGATTCGTTCGCCTGACCGGGGGAGCTGAAGAGTTCGCCTCCGCGAAGTGTCCAACAGCGACTTTTTCCAGATGCATTTCGCCATACCAGCACCCTCCAACAGGTGTCTCCTTGGTGACAACAGGTGCCCAGAAACCACCTGTTAGTGTCCCAAAACAGCCTGGCCAGGAGGGTCCTGGTAGACATCTCCCTTCTTTTGAAGTCACGCTTCCTTCGACTCGAGGAACTGGTGGTTTCTTCACCAACCGGACCTGGTTCGACCCCGAAGAGAGCACCGGATCGACGTGTTGTCCCACGTGTTGTCACACGTGTTGTCACCTGTCTCAAGATGGTTGACTCAGAATGAGTGGTGTTAACTCAGAATGGCTTGGCTTCTCCAGGTGTTCAGCTACTCAGCTACTCTTTCCTTTTCACCCGACCCACCCGCTGCTTCTTTCTTCCCTTTCGAAGCGGCCCAGACCGAGCGTCGCCCTACGCACCGGTCACCCGAAGCGACCCAGGTGGAGGTGACGGACTTCCGGCCCTATGACCTGGAGGTGATCACCGAACTCATGGAAGGGGTCCGCTCTCTCAGCCCGGGGACACTTCCCTCTCTTTTTCTTTTTTTTTGGGGGGTCGTTTTTCTTGACGGGATTTGGTCGTTTTTGGAGGGCTGCTGGCTTTGGAGGAACATGAATTAGTGGCGTTTTGGTGCAAACCTGTTTTGAGGAACCAGTGCGGCGGGGTGAGAGTATGAATGGAGAACTTGTTGCACCAATGATGCTGAGGTTTGCTGGGATGGCTTTCTCATGGACACTGTCAAGGGTTGAAACCAGCAAGTAATTGTGTGTCTGGATCCCGCATGTGCTTGGTTCTTCCTCTCGCCAACGGTGGGTGCTGGGTCTTCCCACTTTTGTCATACAGGTATCTGTCCAGCCCTAGCAGCTGTTGCGCTGTTGCATCTGCCGTTAAAAAGACATCGGCTCCCAAGAGAGGCTATGATTTAAGTGACCTGAAAGGACCCTGTTGACGCTGGAATGACCCCTTTTCCCGACTCGGGTTCCCGACCCACCGACCCGAACTGGATCCCACCGCGTTGCTGCTGCGAGCGAGTAACGACGCACCTTATCGCCGCCGCCGCGGCGATCTGCCGCCGAGTCGACGGTCTCCACCGCGGCGAAGCTCGGAGAGCACTTCACCATCTCGGCCACCGGCGTGGTCCACGTGCGCCCGGCCGTGGTCCATGGGGGTGGGCCGTGCTGGGCGGTGTGGGCGGTGTGGGTGTGGGGCTCCTCTCCCGGTGCGGGCTCGGACGGCGTGTGGAGACGGACCTTCTTTTTGGCACCACGTACGTGGGCGGTACTGTAGTGGGCGGTGCGTTTGCCCCGGAGTTGGAGGGGATTTGGTGGGAGGGATGACCCCTAAGACACTTTTGGAGGGACAGCTCTGGAGCGAGCCAGTGATTAGGTCCAGAAAGAGCCAGTGGAATAAGTTGCCAACTGGGTTTTGTGACTGAGCCAATGGCCATACCTCTTTGTAGTGAGCCACTACTCAAGTAGGCAGAGCGGCCAACACCCCGCTGGTGTGCGCCTCCTCCTCGGCTGGGTGCATCTGGATTCTGGATAGTTGGAGAACAGACCAGGGCTTCCCACACGATTCCAGGTTCCTGGATCATCTGACTGGCGACTCCTGACAGGAATGAGGGGTCATGAATCGAAAGGAGTCTCCATTTTTGGTGCTCCTTCCTGGACCTTCCCTTGCCTTCACCAGTCATTCCTTCCATCTGTCACACCGTGACACCTCACAACCTGCCCGCCGGTGAAACGCTCCGCTCCGTTTCGGGGGGCAGCCTCTCGGGTCTCGGGGGTCTCGCGTTCGAACCCACGAGTCGAGTCGGTCCGGTGTGCAGGTCTGTCCCGGTCAGCAGAGCGAGCACATGTCACTGGGAGATTGGTCTCGGATCCCAGGGAAGTGAGGGATAGATCAGCGGGGAGCACAGCTGGAGCACAGCTGGAGCCGCTGTGTTCCCAGGGTTTGGGAACAAGGTGGTTGGCCATGGAGGACTTGGGTTGGGAGTACAGGATACATGGCTTCCAAGTCAGGCTTGTTTGTCGGTGTCTGAGATGAAGATCTCATGCAATCAACAGGCCTTTGGAACCATGTTTTTAGACCGTACAGGGGAAAGTAAGCAGGCACAGCGGGCCGCCGTTTCGCACCTGGAACGACGATGTGCCAGGACCGGACCGGTCAGAGACGACACACCACGGGTGTCCCCCTTTTGCAGACATGGCATACAGGCGAAAGAATGGCTCTTGACATATTTTGACCAAGTCATCTTGGGGTAAGGTTCTCATGAAGAAAAGGCATACATGGCAGATCCCCAAGATTTCTCACTGCTTTGCGGTCGCTCTGACAGCTGTAAGAGATGGCAAAACCCTTTTGGTTGAGCTCCTCTGAGCTTCTTCACACCCATCCTCTCGAAGAAGAACCTACTAAGGATCTACTAACCTGCTATGTCCTCCATGTTCATTGAGCACACTCCGCACTGGGGTCCTCCAAATTCCTACAATACATGTCCTGTTTGGGCCTCCTTACACTCAATGCCCCCAGCTGACCTGTGCCACAAGTCCTCGGTGTCGCAGCGATTTCGGTTCAAATACTTCAGCGGGTCTCTGTCAATTATCACTGAACAGGCGTCACTTGGGTGCAGCGAAGCGCAGACGGGCCCGGCGAAGATGTGTTCGATGGCGACTTGCTCCACCAAAAATCAGCTTAAGATTCACCAGTTGAGGCCAATTCACCAGTTGAGGCCAATCACCTTTCCCCTTTTGACCCCCAATCCTGGCCTAGAAGACCCTCCGATCCATGCAGATCCGGGCGGATCCCTCCGAGGTGATGGACCCGGCCGTGCCAACACTGAGTGTCCCACGTCGCAAGGAGGGTGGTTGCCTGCGGGTGAAGATACGTACAGTTATACAGTTATATGTACATATATATATATATATAAAAGTTATACATATATAATCATATATATATATATATACAGCTATACAGTTATAATATAATGTTACATATACCAGCAGTCACAAAGGGGTGCCGAACTTGGAGGATAGGGGTGCCCATTATCCACTCACTGGATGGGACTAAAAACCACCCCTTTGTGACTCCTGGTATATATATATATATGTAGATGTATCCTAGGAGCGAAAAGACAATATCTTGCCTCAGTGAAGTAAAGGACATCCCCTTTCTGTTGCCGTAAAGTTTAAAGACTATTCTTTTAATATTCTTTGACTCGCAGGGTTTTGACTCCCATGCGTATACATATACATATTATACATATGATACATGTGTATATATATATATTATTATGTATTGCTGGTGCCGCTCCAGGGTGCTGCTGCCAGATGTTGACAACAGTGTGCGCTTTGGAGCCTGGGTGCTGGTGCCGCTACATGTCGCTGCCCACAAAAACGTTTTTGCTATTTGGGGTCTATGCTGGAGTACTATACAGTATGTCTGTATGTCTGTATGTCATGTATGTAATGTAGTGTAGTGTAGTGTAGTGTAATGCGATGCAATGCAATGCAATGCAATGCAATGGAATGAATGAATGAATGAATGAATGATGAATGAATGAATGAATGAATGACTGAATGAATTAATGAATGAATGTATGTATGTATGTATGTATGTATGTATGTATGTATGTATGTATGATTTTTTCCTAAAGTGGCCTTTCTCTCTGCTGCGGTCTCTGTGCCGTTTTGGCACTTAGCTGCGGCTGCTGGTAGATCTAGAAGAAGTCGACGACAGCGAGCCCTTCTTCGTGGTCATCATCAGCAGCTGCTGGCCCTGTTGGTGCTGCGTCTCTGCGGTCCGTGTGACCTGTGCCTGCATTGTGGCTGGGTGTCATGGCCGATGCAGGTCTTGGTGCAGGCTCGTCCTCACATTCAGTGAGCTGTGTAGGAAAGTGAAGCCGCCTGCAGAAAAGACCTTCTGTCTCGACAGCCCAGTTGTCCTTGCCTCCATGTTCTTCGGCGCCACCGTCTTCTTCGTCAAAGTGGTGACTTCCACGTCCGCTTCCCAGACGTGCACGCCGATGGCGAATGCGTCGACGAAGGCCTGGACCAACAGAATTTGAGGAATGTGTCTAAGTTCGTTTTAGGATTACGAGCGAATCGTTTGTGTTCTTCGCTCAAGACTCCGCGCTGAAAGCCGAAGGCAAGTATTAGCAAAGGTGCAACGAGACGTGGTCGCCGTAGCCACCATCACGGTTTGATTGGGCAGGTCGGCGTAAATTCGCCAAATAGTCCTCCCAATCTTCATAGATAAAGGCCTCGCGCCACTGGACAGTAGCAATGGAACTGAGGAACGAAGCGAGCCTAACTATAACTGTTTTGGCGTATGTTCTTCTGGCTGGCCGCCTCGTACTCCGACCGATGCGCTTGCAGCCAATCGCAGGCTGCTCGTCGGACCGAGAATTTGTCGGCGACTTGTAGCATTTGCGCCTGCGCAATCCACAAAATGCAGGTAAACACTTGAAGCAAATAGCGTGTTGACATCCATTTTTGGAAAAAGACAAGCAAAGTCGCCTGGCGAGCGTGGCACAATGCCAAGGCGATGGACGCAAACTGGCAATCGCCGTCCATGTGGGTACAGCAGCGCACCCAATGGTTGGTACGGAGGAGTGCCGCGAGTCGTTGCTCCCGTGAGTGGGCCTGTTTGCTGCCTCTGCCGTGGGAGCCTCCTCACTGGTGGTGGTTCCCTCTTCAGGTGTTGGTGCTGCAGCTTTGGGGCCTGCTGGCTGAAAGAAGGAGTGAATTGGCGGGGAGCCTCTGAGTCCAGCTCCCTTGCATTCCTTGTGGAAGTTGGTGCCACCCATCACCCACTTCTGGCTGTTGAGATGCAGTTGCAGCCCCCACAGAGAGGCAGCGGAATTGGTTGCCAGTCTGCCAGAGCTTGTGGCTTGGATGTCCTTCATGTGGTTCTTGGAAGGGCTGATCCAAGCATGGGCTGGTGATGAAGTCCTTGAAGGCTTGCTCATTGGTGCGTTTGTGGATGTTGACACCACATCGCTGGCATTTGAGGTAGCCTTTGGTTTCTTCGAGCTGGTGGCGGCTCTTGTCCTGGGCCCTTGTGGGTTTCTTGGTCAACTCTGGGACTGAAGGCGTTGTGGGCATTGTTCATGAAGCCTTTCTTCAAGAACGGGGGCAGTGAGCCCTTGATGCATCCTGGTCCCACAAGCGCTGCAATGATACCCGCTGCGGTGTGGCTCCCAGCGGAGTTGGTTGGGCTGCCAAGGTCTCCGGCGCTGGAGGACCAGATCTTTCTTGTACTGCTTTGTCTGCTTGCCGTGGTGGCGTGCTGCTTTGTCATGGATGTAGTGCGTCTTGTCTTCATAGATTTGGGAGCCTCTGAACGGCATGCCGGTAGATCAGTGCATGATCTTGGTCAACAGTGTGTTGCCATTCAGTTTGTCTCTTGTCATGGAGGTGGTTTGCTCGTTCATATGCTACAAGGGCTGCATCCCTCTGTCTCCGTCGCAACTGCGGTTCATTGCCAGGCGCATCTGGTGTTTTGGTGTTGCGTGGGACGTACAGGACTGTGACCCTGTGTTGGTCCTGCCGGGTGATGTCCTCCAGCAGATCCTGGAAGGTTGGCTTTTGTGTTGCTGGTGCCATGCTTCCCACACGGAGGCTTTTGAGCTTGTTGGCAATCTTTCTCGGTGTCAGGACCTTGCTGTGTCATCTTGGTGACCACTTCCTGAACAGCTTGTGGGAGTGCAGCCATGTGGGTTTTGAGCAAATCTGTTAGCTCTGGTTCTTCTTGGGGAGGTGGTCCCAAGCCGAGGGGTTGAAGTTTGCCCTGGATGCCCTCTGGGATAACATCCCATGTTGAAGCTAGCAGTTCTGCAGCTGCCTGTTGGTCTTTGCCTTTCTTCAAAGGCCGGAGCTTGGTCAACCCTGGCGGTGTGTCCATCAGTGCTTCTTGATAGGTCTTTCTCGGCCAGGAGGTAGTCTGTGGGTGCATAGTCTGCTTTCCTCGATCACCTTGTCCTTTCCCCTTTCCGGTGGATTTGGGTGTAGGCCACCAGGTGCCGCACCTTCGGCATCGTGTGGCCGGTTGGACTTTTTCCTGCCATATCAAGTTGCTGCAGGTAGCATGGTTGCAAACCATGTAGCTGCGTCCCCATGACATGGACTTGCTGGGCGTCATTGTTCCTGAGAAAGGTCTCCTTAGTGGCCTAGTGATAGGCAGAAAGGATGGCAAACTGGGTTTCCCCGATCTCGTTCTGGCCGGTAGGCGAGAACCTGCCGGTCACCGTAGAGCTTTTCAGGAATGGCCAAGGTGGAGTCGAAAATTGCGAGCAAAGAGTTTGTGGTGGACCTTGCGGATGGGCCACCCTTGGTCACAAAGTGCAGAACTATGCTTGCTTGGGGAGTAGCGCGCTTGCCTGTCTTGGTGGGCTGCAGGCTTGAGCAGCTTGACGGCTTGAGCCAAAATGGCTTGAGCCATGTATGTATGTATGTATGTATGTATGTATATCTATAACATAAAGTGTATATGTATATGTATATATATATATATAAAAGGTCTCTTTCTGTATCTCCATCTTACACACGCTCATCAGACACTGTACACGATCGCCATTCTTCGCCGTCCTTCGCCGTGGGACTCCACGAGGAGCCGAGCCGCGACGTCCGGGGCTCCGAGAGCGAGACGCGGGAGCCGGACAGCGACCGGCTTTCGCAGCCGAGCGTGGACTCGCAGCCAGGCCGAGGGGTGGGGTGGGGCGAAGGAGGTGGGGTGGGGAGGAGGAGGGTATGGCTGAGGGTCACAGGAAAATGGTAGATTTGTGGATGAGGAGGAGGGTGCTAGGGCCTGCTAGGGCTGGGTTTGGTGGGCAGTGGGCGGAATGGTTGCGGAAAAAGGTTGAATTGGGTTGAGTA